CGACGTCAATATCCCCGCCTTCATCGCGTGGAAGGAGCCAATGGCGACCGAGTCTTGGAAATACTTCCAAACACCCGCTTTCCCAATGGACGCAGAAATTATATCGACCCCATCCGCAATGGCGTCATCAAAGGCAGCCAGGACGTCCTGCTCCGCACAGCCTAGGGACCCCCAGCAAACTTTGTACACGGCGATCCTTGAAGATGGCGCCGCACCCCGGGCTGTCCCTTTCGCTATCCCGTAGAGGCTCATCCCGTGAACTTCTCTCCCGGCTACTGTCGATGTAGTGTGAGTCCCGTGTCCTTCGAAATCACGAGCCGAAATCTCAGTGTCGGGCTTGCTACTGTCGATGTAGTGTGAGTCCCGTGTCCTTCGAAATCACGAGCCGAAATCTCAGTGTCGGGCTTGGCATTTTCTATACTATAATAGTAGCGTGCGCCGATGATTTTGCTGTGTCAGATCAAGGGAGTAAGTTAGATGTTGTGTTAAGGGCCTGTTTGTTTCCATGGAGTCTGTAAAAACCTTGCTGCAGGTAGACCCCTTGAAAAGAGTAAAAAAAAAAAAAAAAAAAATCATTCGGGGTCTATATGCAGCAATAAAACTAGCCAGGCGAAAAAAAAAAAAAAAAAAAATCATTCGGGGTCTATATGCAGCAATAAAACTAGCCAGGCAATATGTTCAACTTGGTGATAGTACATTAGATCTATCCGCAATCGACCCTAAAATTCTTTTACGAAGTGTATGTCAGTAGGACATAGAGGAGAAAGTGGAGGGTACGTCTCCACACTCAAACTCTCCATCCAGCCGAGGAAAAAACAGAAAGTTTGGGATTTTATGCAAAGTCAGGTTTTCAGGACTAAAATCTGTCACCCAAACAGACCCAAAAGAATATTTATTCAGTTTCGAAGAAATTACTTGTTGCAGGTGAAGTTTCGGCAAATGCCCCTCCACCGGTTTGGAGGTGCACCGAATCCCTCGTCGCTGAAACTTGCAGACTCTGGCCAGATTCCAGTGTCGATCATACCAATTATGATGTCAGAATCTCTAGGTGAGTGCCTAGTTGCTGTTTCAGAAAATCCTAAGAAGTCCCATGACCTTGTGGTGTGGAGCTGGAGAGTTTTGCTGGGGAACACTGAGACTATGCCTTCCATATCTTTCAATTTGCCAAAATAACCACCCAAAAAAAAAAAAATCAATTAATGCTGAAAAAGAATGTATAATTTTAGATTATCCCTTTCTCCTTACCAGCTAGTCTCTGATACTCATGTGCAGTAAGTTTGGCTGCAAATCCATTGAAGCTTCTGCTATAGCTGTACACCAAGGATTCCTTCACTGAGCTGTATCGATACCAAGACAGAACTTCAAACGCCAAGCATGATTCAAAAATTCAAAAGTTGCGTAAAATTCTCCTTTTTTTTTTGCTACAGCTCCCCAAAAACTTAGTAGATAGGAATAATATAGGATTAACAAAACGCACCTGCCCTCGAGCACTTGGTCCAGTAAACTGAGATGAACAGACTCTGCTCTGTATGGAAGTTTTGGCTTTTCTCCCATATATGCAATATAAATCTGCATTGCAATCATTAAATCATATTAGAACAAACTACTCCAGAATCGATGTTCGTTTAGAGTTATGCTAGCAAATTACTCGACAATATTACAAGAGAAAATATTACCTGTCTGTCATCTTCAGCAGCGAAAGTGTCTGGAAGAACGATGATAGAGACCGCAATACAAAGTCGAAACAAATGAACTGCACTGGGAGCCATTAGTAGTGTCCTCCTCAAAAGCAACCAAAGAAATTTATTGTTGCCTTTAAAGGACTAAATTGTTACAGTTGCGGTCATGCATCTCAAGATCACATCCCTTAATTATAGCGCAACAGAAAGAGAACATCTCATGGTTTCTTCATGGGCCTTGCTAATTTAGGGTACCAGAACCAATTAACCATTTTCTCTGGGTTCCTGAGATTGGGAGTACGTAACCGAAACCAATTGAACTTTTCGTTACCCATTTCACGACTCAGCTATTGATAGACATTCACCAATGTTCTAAGAGGCGTAAAACTTGCTTGCGTGCATCGCGCACGCATTTCTTGCAAGTGTGGGACATTGAATAGCCTCAAACACAAATCCAGAAAAAATTATAGACATCAACTCATACAGGTGAATCTCCATCCCTCCCCGCTAGTGTTAGAAGCTATGGATGTAGAAATTTAAACCACTTATTAATAAAATGGCCATCATGAAAATGAAATTTTCATGTCCCTGTAAGGCCGCATCAACCTACTTTGCATAAGCATAGGCAGGATGCAATTATTAGGTGTCATTTGCCTTCATCTACGAAGGAAATAGAACTAAAAAGACTCAATTCATCATATAATTGGTCACCATATGTCAATCACATACAATTTCTCATGTTTCCAAGTCTTTCCAAGGTAGAACAAAACCATGGTGGCATACAAAAGTTGAATACCGCAAAGCCGCAAGACGGAATCCAGAGGAGAGGAGCAAATATCAAACAGGAGAATAAAAGAAGCTCAGATGCAAAAGTATCACAAGTAAATAGTATCTTGTAGTAAATAATAAACATTAACAACCACTTCTTCTGAATCATGCAGATATATCAGTGGCAGTTCTCATAAGATAAACATAAAACAACTCCTTCCAATAATGGACTATACTAAAAGACGACAGTGTCGAGCATGGTTCCCAATGTCTGGACTATGTTGGACGACATGAGGTTTGAAACATGCTCCTCAAGGTGCTTCTTTGCATCTTGTCGACCCACATTTGCAATCGCCAGCTTCTCTGGAGGTAATTCATCCTCCTCTTGGACAGCTTTGTTGTACTTAATGGCCAAGCTTAGCATTTCCTGCTCGCATTTCACAACCACAAAAAGCTTATTAGTAAAAGAGCTTTGCAGTTGCTTCACATTTTTAGCCAACAGAAAAGATACAAAGAGCATTTTTGGCGATCCTTATTTTGTGAAAGCTATAAGGTCCTTTATCTTAAAAACCCTTATAAGGATGTTAAAAATAAAGAAAATGTTTGGTAAATCGATTATAACTATCAGTATAAGGATCTGTATTAGGGGCCAATGTAGTCCTTTAACACATAGGATGGAGTTTTTGGAGAATGATTGAAAGGATCTTGGAGATCCAGGGACACGGAATGGAGTTTTTGGATTTGTTAGAGTGCACAGTAGTATTTTAACATCAATAAGTAAAGCTCTTTAAAAGGGCCAAAAATATAGTTGGAAAATCCTAACTTATTATTTTTAGGATTTTCCAACTTATACGTAAACAAGTAAAATTTACCAAACATGTAACTTTAACCCATCGAAGGAAAACACCTTTATAAGGTAAATAAGCAAGTTGCAACATGCCTATAGCATCATACCCTCAGAGAATCTTAATTACAAATAAAGAGAGAAGTAGAACCAATAAGGCAAAGGGTTTACAAAGGAGAGTGAGGCTTAGAGTGAGGGTACCTGAACTGTTTGCTCATTGGTTTTGGAATGGGTATCAAACCGTCGCAGTGTCAAACCATCAGTCCATTTCTTCTTATGCAGGTTCAATAGCATCTTTTCCTCAAGCTCATTTTTCCTGTAGTTGATCGCTATAGAGTAGTAGTGCCGGTTCAGCCCGTGAATTAGTGCCTGAATTTTAGTAAGCAGAATACATTAGGGTGTTGATAATAACATAACCAATTATAGAAAATTACTGGGACAAGCAGCAGACCTGAATAGATGGTTTATTCAGATGCCCCAAGTTTGACGTAGTCTGGCGAGGCTCTTGACCAAGCATCATTGTCTGTGGATTGATCAACCGGAAAGCATCAATAACCACCTTCCCTTTCACACTTTGGATAGGATCAACCACAACAGCAACTGCTCTAGGATTCAGGGCTTCAAAACTCTGCAAGGAGCAAACTAATCACTTAGCCTATGAAATTCACCAGTAAGCATGTCATGGCGCAAGCAACATCGCAGATGTGGAACTTGATCCAGTAAAACCGCATTAATTAAAGTGAAGTTGCACTAGAGCTTTGATGAAAAGGAGAGAATAGTAAAATAGAAATCAGTCAAAATATTCTGGCAAAATTGATGTTTCCAAATAATATCATGTTGTTTGGTATTATTTATTTAATATATTCAACAAGAATCTGGTAAGTATAAAATATTAAAATGGCTAGGTAGTAGAAGGAGACTAAACTAGATGGAACAAGACGATCACTATGATCACCGAAGATTAATTCTTTATTAGTTCTTGTAGATTTCAGATGAAACACATGTATTTGTTTCCCATGCCTAACAATACTCATATGCAGTGACTACAGTAATAAACCATGCCCATGGTGAAAAGGTAATTTTTTGTGTGAGGGAGTTCACTTTCTGTAATATGTAGCAAAAACTGCAACATCTATCTAAGATTCTAAATATACAGATGCATTATAAATGTAAATGCCTCCACTCTATGGAGAGCATATAGTCCTATAGAAAGCATTAAATATTAGTTAAGACTTTTGACTTTCTACACTTAATTGGTATCCACTAGCTCCCACCGGCTTAGTTTTAGCTTGCTACTCTATCTTGATAATGTTTAAAAACCACATCTGTTTATCGCTCTTCACGTGATAAACATGCTAACGACTATAAAAAGATGTGATTACTCTTCAGTAATGAAATCATAACTTAACGTTAATTAAAAGTTTTGACGGAAAATTGAATAACAAATATGTTAGAATAAATCAAAAAGATTAAAAGAAAAAACCTGCTGAGTATTAATATCAACACCGGAGAGCCAGCAGCCAAAGCCTGGATGTGAGTGGTACCATCCCACTACCATTTCTGGCCTGCAATCAAAGATCTGAAGCTATTATCCATGTTTAATGAAGAGAATGCTTAATAGATAAAACAAAGAAAAGAAGCAAGTTATAATTACATCACATCCTCTATTTCAGAGAAGAAATCAGATCTTATTCATCCGCCAGCAGTTTGGAATTCAAGAGCAGCAAGAATATTACAATAAAGGGTTATTTTGATATTGGTCCCTTAAATCTTCAATATTTTGAAATTAGTCACTCAACTCATTGAGATTGCTATTAGGCCCCTCAAATATTACCCGTTCTTTCAAATTGATCCCTTCTGTTACTCCTGTCAAATTTGTTAACTCTAGTTAATTTGTCGATAACGCAACATGGTTACTCCTTCTGTTACTCCTTTTGTTACTCCTTCTGTCAAATTGGTCCCTTAAATCTTTAATATTTTGAAATTAGTCACTCAACTCATTGAGATTGCTATTAGGCCCCTCAAATATTACCCGTTCTTTCAAATTGATCCCTTCTGTTACTCCTTCTGTCAAATTTGTTAACTCTAGTTAATTTGTCGATAACCCAACATGGTTAATTACCCAACAAGAATCCCCTCTTCTGCTCTCTGTTCCAACTAATTAGAAAGAGGAAACGAAAAACCCAAATCAACTCCATCTCCCTTTCAAATCTTAAACCAATCTCTCTCAAAAATCGGGGTCGCTAAAGAAAATAAATTTTGGCCATGACATAGTTTCTAGACCTCGGCACAAGATCATCGCCGTCATCCTCGACTTCACTGATAGACACCAAGGAGCTCAGAAGTTTCCTTCAAGAAAAACCTTAACTTGAGCCTTAAATCTCGAACCCTCCTATTTCTTTCTTAATGTTTAGGAATCAACTCTCTTTTTGAAGCTGATGATAGACAATTTTGATATGCAACAGTTTAGTTTGAATACTGGAATTCATACTCATTTTCCTTAGCTAATTATCTGTATTTGAGGGTGTTCATTGTTCTTGAGCATGGAGAACAATGAAAACTTGAAGTTATGATCGGCTGTTGATTTTGTTTATGCACCCTTAACATAACACATGATGTATGTACTATGGTGAATTGAGAACGCTAATTATTTGGTGCTTGATAACACAACTTGATCAGAGGAATGAGCTCTGAAAATGGGTTCTGGGAGAAAGGATCATTGGAGAAGATGGTGAAGTGTGTTTGGGTTTTAAAGATGCGGGTATGTCTTTAAACTCGTTTAAAGAGATGGGTTAAGTTCGAGTTAGAATTAAATAGATGGCTATAATGGGAAACCCCATAAAAACAGTTGAAGTTAGAATATTCCTCTAAAATCTGACTTCAGCTAGCTAGGGGGACCAATTTGGAAGAACTAGTAAGATATGAGTGACCTAATAGCAATTTCAATTATTTGAGGGACTAATTGCAAAATATTGAAGATTTAAGGGATTACTATTGAAAAACCCTACAATAAAACATGCATGCAATTCTTATCAAAGACGTATCAAATTCAGTAAAAAGATGAAGTGACTCCCATAAAGAGGGGAAAAGATAATAACATTTTCTAATCCCAGAGAAACCAGCATATATGCCCAAAATTAATAAATTCTAATACTTCTAGTTTAAGAAAGGCGACCATCACACAATCATGAGTGATGAAAAGGAGTAAGTTATGATGGTTAACCAATAAGGAGTATTTGAACTTAGTGCAAACTTAATCCGCAGAGAAAGGGATAGCATAAACTTAATACGCAGAGAAAGGGGTATACTTTATAAGATCTAATTTCCCTATGACCTAGATTTGTTGTGTACCAAGTCCTGTTTGCAGTATTTTGCCTTCTCTCCCTTGTTCTAATGAGAATTAGACCTTGCTCCAGCAAGAGAGATGATCTTCACATTTAGCCGAAATTTGGGCAAGCGGGTCGTGGGAGGATTTCTCAATAAAATTAAGAGCAACACAAAAACTAGAAATAACTAAAGGGTATCACCAGGATAAATTTCTGCCCAAAGAAAGCAAATTTAAATTAAAAGACACCTAAAAAGACAATCTTTCATTCGATTACCTTCCAGTTTGCTTGAGCATATCAAGCATATTAGTCTGAAACACATGATCAACAGCCTCGACGCTAACCCCAGTTCCGCTCTGCGGCATCGCAAACACATCCACGACTCTCACCGTGTACTCGTCGACAAACTCTCCAAGCATCAGCCCCATGACCTCCATCGGAACCCCAGCTCTCCCTGCAACCAAAACCCTAGATTTCAACTTCGAGCCAAAACCCTAGATCCAAACAATTTGAGTATTGTGATTCTACATACCGTGCTTGAGCATCTTGAGAAGGGCGAGAGATGAGATGTACACTTGCTCCGATGAGTCGAGGAGAGGCGAGTCCGTCGGCGGGTGGCCCATGCCGCCGGCGCCGGAGAAGATACGGTGTAATCTCTCCATTGGAGAATTTTAGGTTTCGTTGATTTGAACGGAGAGGATCTAAATTTTGAAACCCTAATTTTTTTTAAAAAAAAAATTTTCTTCAGCTAAGGATTTTATGGGATTTTGGTTAAAGCTTGAGGAGAAAGAAAAAGGGAAGAGGTTGGATCTTGATCGGAGTCTGAGAGTTTCAACCCGAAGTCCGATTGAAAATTTGACAGAAAAGCCACCCGTGATAGGCTTCCTTCGGGTACCATTTTGTTTTCTTTGTTATGTTTTTGTAAAAAAAAACAGCATGATGTTATGTTTTTCCCTTAAAATATTTTTAAAATATCATGTAAAGTATTTTTGATCAATACTAATTTGACTCATTACAATATTAGTATTAAACATATTATTAATATATTATATATTAATTATAATAAAATATATTATAAATAAAATATTATAATATTTAGTTTATATTATTATAGTATTAAAAATATTAAATATAATACAGTATAAAATTGTATAATATATTATATTGTAAGCTTAATGAAGGTTATTAGTTCATATTATAATTGTTACATATTATTTTAAATAATTATAATATTTAATTGATTTTTGATATATCAATTTTGTATTGTTATATATTAAATTAATATTTATAATAAAGTTATTTTTATTATTAATATAATATTATACTATTATTCATATAACAATATTATTATTATAATGTTATATTATGTTATTATAGTATGTTATTAATAAATTAAATATATATATAATATTTTAATATTATGTAATATATTATGGTCTTTAATATGTTAGAGTTTATCAATAGTAATTAATAATTATTAATAACTTATGATATAAATAAATATTTATTATATTATTAATATATTATTTTTTTATTAACATTTGTTAGCAATAAATCATTTTATTCATTATATAATATTTTAATATTTTATATTTTTATATTATATTTTTTATAAATATTTTATTATAATAATAATATTATTTATTTTAAATATGTTACTATTATATAATATTTTATAATTATTTAATTTATTACAGTTTATTTATTAAAAGTTAATAATATTATAGTGATTATACTATTGTGTAGTATATTATTATATTATTATTTATTATCAATAACTTTTTTATTATTTTTTATTAGTTTATTTATATTTTATTGTTATTTTTTATTATATAATACATTGTTAACATATTAAATACTAGTATTTAATATGTTATTATATTGTTATATAAGATATTTTATTTATTATATTATTTAATAAACATTATTAATATATTAGATTAACTATAGTATAGCATAATAAGTATGTTGATAATAACTCTATATTAATTATATTTAATATATTATGTTAGGTATTATATTAACACATTCTCAAACTCAAAATCAAAACATCAAACTTAAAAACACTTTTTAGGTGTTTTGAAATAAGTGTTGTGTTTTTGGTTTTGGTTTTGATGATGATTTAGCTCAAAAAATACCATGGTTTCCAAACGCATGATGTTTTATTTTTTGCAAAAACACCATGAAAATAAGTAAAACACCATGGTTTCCAAACGCATCGTGTTTTGTTTTTCACAAATGAGAACAATTTGATTGTGGAGATTTTTTTTGTTAAGAAACAGGCCCAACAGTTATAATAGACATAAGATTTAGTTTAGGGAGATTTTCCGTGATTATTTTGGTATATAAAAGTTTAAAATACTTTGAACTCATAATATGCAAAAATTGTTGGAATGGGAAAGGAGATATTCAATATTTAGAAAAGTGAAAAAGAAAATATCAGTGGGTGAATTAGTTTGGTATTAACTTTTAGTTTTTTCTTAAGAGGATGAATTCTACCAGAAGGATACATGATTGAGGGGTTTTTTTTACTTTCAAAAATATCACTCTCATTGAGTCTGGGAGCTTCTCATAGATAAACCAATCCCTTTAAAAGAAAAACCGTAGTCTAATAAGGAAGAAAGCAAAGTAGCACATTCTCTTACTAATGTTAGTGCTCACAATATTGTTCCCAATTCATGGTTGAATTCTTATTTTGAACTTCTCCTTAGTGAGATTCAGGCTAATGATTTGAATTCTCCTTAAACTTTCGTGAGTTTTCAAAAAAAAAAAAAAACACGAGATGCAATGATCTGTTAGAGAATAAAACTATAATCATTAGCACCCTCACCGTAACTTCAGAGTTTTCGTACGGTACAAGGGACTTCAACATTCTCCATAAAAAAATTCAAAGAGATGCCCTATAAGTCCCCTTATTATTGGTATAACATCAAGGGAAACTACAATCAATTGCCATTACAATTATCAATCATCACAATTGAAACAAATAATATATGACCATAAGGACACAAGTAAAAAATAAATCCTTATAGCACACTAAGACCACCAATCCTCAACCTCAAGGAACTGACTCACACAGGAAAACTCCCTGTGAGTCGAATATGATCCAGAGTCCGACGAAGTCCGTACTTATTAACAGCTTTATTTGCTCTTCTGAAACCCTCGCCATAAGCGGAAGAAGTGTCATTAGCAATTTGATGCATGAAGAACTGGCCGAGCTTTTTCTCGGTGTCGGATGTCGTTGACTTTTTGGAATACGGCGTTGAGGAAGAGGATGAAGATGAAGCATGATACGATGATGTAGGCATAGAAGTTGACCCCGGCATAACCTCATATTCGAGCCACATATGGGAGAGAACCTGACAGATTCCTTCCTCTACCTCAGGGCTTAGATTTCGATAGCCTAAGTTGCGATTAAAGAGAGAGCAAATTTAATTAGAAAGCTACTTGAAGTGAATTATGGGTAAATTTCACTAGTTCCCTAGAAGTTTGGACCATCTGAAACAGCCTCCCTAAACTTTACAAACGTCTAAATCCCCCAGCCTAACTTTCAACATTATTTTCAGTTAACCCGCCGAACTTTGAACATTATATTCCAAAAAACCACCATGAACTTTTGATAAAGAAAACCAAATTATAGCATCAGAGGGTATGTTGAAAAAATTGAACATTTGGGTGGACATTTGTAAAGTTTTTTCCCTTTGTTTTTGTTTTGTTTTCTTTTGTTTTATTTTTTTTGTTTTATTATTATTAAATTTTTTTTGGGTGGGTAGGGATTATCTCAAAATGGGCCAAACTTTAGTGGGGTCATTTGAAATTCACCCAATTTGTGATTTCCAGAGAAGTTATTAAAACACAAAAGATATGGACAGCTTATGAATAGCTACTGAAGATGTATGAACATAAAACAATAACAAAGGCTTCATCTCAAACTTTTGGGGTCGGCAAATTCATCCACTCGGTTGCGTTGCGAGTATCTCCTCCACTAAGCTAATCATTATCAAATCCTTCTTAAGGGCTCTTACCAAGTTCTCCTCTAGCCCTCTGTTCTCCATTAAGTATAATCTTATCATTTCTCACCATTGGTGCATTTTAATGGCCTCTGTTACACATGTGAAACATCAAACAAGGTGCTAATGAATATCCAAGGGAGCGGACATAAGACCAATCTCAATTCACACTATGTTGCCTAGGTATTCCTCTCTGGTCGTAACCATACCCAACACTTTTGGACGCCCATTACATATAGGCATACATTTATTCAGACATGTACTGAATTACACAGTACATGTTTTTATTTAATTACTTCTCATAACTTCTTGGACATATATCCTACACTCCACATCCACTTTTGAAACTTGTTTGACAAGGTTCGTGTTCATCTCAACACATATTCAGTTAAAAACTATGATTTCAAAGGGTTGTTTGCATTTCTAGCTCAGAACTATGATTTCCGCCCATGCGTTTCAGCATGTTCCTGTACCCTACATTTACAAATTTGCACCATATACTTACAACAATGTAGCTGATGTTTTTCCAAGATGATGTGTTTAAATAATACTACTAGAAGCCATGTGTATTTTCATTCCAAGAAATTGAATTTTGATCCGATCTGAAGCGGAAACATGTACCTTTAAGTCGTAGCTGTAGGCGTATAAAATTGCCTATAGGTCCCTTAGCACAGCTCGACGCCGATTTAACAAACGGACCACCGGGCGACGTATCCAAACAAGACCGTTAGCTCGCCAACGCTGAAGCCAAGCTATACGCAACGGAGCAGGTTAACGAGGCGACAAATCATCTGGAATCAAGTCAACAAGTCGTTGCCAAGTCAATCAACCACACAAGAGAACCAGAACCGGAAACAAAGGACGAAACGGACAAACACCCGGGGACTCGGCCGAAACCGAACCACCCCAGGGTGGCTCGGCCCAAGCCGAGCCACCCTGAGGTGGCTCGGCCAAGGCCGAGCCACCC